CCATCCATCCATCCATCCATCCATCCAGCCATCCATCCATCCATCCATCCATCCAGCCATCCATCCATCCATCCATCCATCCATCCATCCATCCATCCATCCATCCATCCATCCATCCATCCATCCATCCATCCACCCGAACATCCATCTCTATTCATTTTTCATGTAAAATGAATAGGGATTTTTATGACCAACATATTGCAGAGTATATATACAGATATGCATAATTCACTGTCTCATTCTGATAGATAACAGTGACTTACCTCAGAGACATTTGCTGAGTAGAGCTTTTCTGTAAAAAGGGGTCCGTTGTCATTGATATCATTGAGTTTCAATGTGCGCATGTGTTGGAACTATAAAAAAAACAAAACAGAATTATTTAAAAAATGATAGTTTTTACAATGAGACTATGCCTATATTGATACTATGGTTGACAACCTACCTGGGAAGTACCATCACACATAATAGAATAGTACAAGGTGCTATCCGTCTGCAAGACAAATAAAGAATATAAATGTCTTCTCAGCATTTAACCAAGTTGCAGCCTTCTTCTTTTGTAGGCAACAGAACACAAGTACAAAGAATGTTTGTCTTTCAGGTTCGAAAAGAAAAAAAACCCTGTAAGAAACCATGTCCTAGGCTGAGTGATCTGTTTGGAGTGCAGTTAATGTGATTATTAAAAGCATTGTCTTAAAGTTTATCTGTGTGCCTCTATAATGGAAAGTGAAGCCAAAAGCAGTTCCTTGTTAGACTTGATTGGCAAAATTCCTGTTCAGTAACAAAAGTTGTAACATTATTGAACAGGAATTATGTGCTGGATCATTTTTATATGATTGTTGAATTAGAATGTTATGTTTGAGTTAAAGTAAACGTGTGTAGTTGAAAATATGTGATAAACTTTATTGAATAATTAATGCTTTTCTAATGTGATGTTTTTATGTGAGGGTAAAACATTGAGACTTGTCAATTGGTTCCTTTTGAATTTCAAACTCTGACATTTCCATAAAAAAAACAACCCTGTTTACATTCGTATGTCAATCAAGCATCTGCTGCAAATGAGAAATAATTGAGAATTTCAAGAAAAAAATGTTCTAGGCCAAACTCACAGATGCTAAGACATCTGCATCCAGGGGCATCTTGGTGCGAACTGTCGCACTGGTGTCCCCAGGTGTGAAGCTCATCTCCAGAAATTCAATGTGGTCGGGAAATAGATAAGGCACCAGCTGCACACTGCGTCCTGCCTCAATCCCATTGACCACCTCCACATCCCCTGTAGGAGCAGACGACAGGTGTAAAGTTCAAATTTGTCACTTCTGACTTTACATTTGAACTATTTTTTTTGCGATAAAACGGCTCCATTGTGTGTTGAACCCAATGAAAACTACAAAAAGAAAGAAAAAAATGTCGCCGATTGTAGCTGAATGGTCAATCTAATTCAATCTATTGTTAAAATGTATGTTTCAAAAGACTGTTTTGACTAATTACCTTGGTACCCCTCGTCAACTGGACCCCACTGTATGGTGTTGCCAACCGCATTGCAGGAAATGGTTGAAGTACCTGCAAGACAAAAATAGTGTTAATAAAGAAAAAAGTTGTTCTTTTGAAACGATAGAATACCAATATTTATTGTCAAGTGCATTTGAATATGAATGAATATATTTACTAAGTGTAAGTTCAACTTCTTTTAACATTCTTATGTGCTGACTTGTTGCAATTTTTAGCTTAAGAAACGTTTGACTGCATTTTGATTAAACATCTATTCTGAGATCTCCGCTTGGATCATATGCCCAGAGGATTATTACTTAGGATAAGTTTGTGTTATCCTAAAAATTCTAACTGCTGACTGAAAGCTTTGAAAAATTCCAACTGCTGACTGAGAGCTTTGAGTGTGTGTTTTTCTCTAAATATATGATGTTTGGTTTGCATTGCTGCAGTGTGGTACTAACTAGTGTAACTTAGACTGAAGACATCAAAATTGTACATAAGTCTGCTTTTAAAATGCAGCTTAAAAAGTTTTTAGGAGCAACTTATCTATAAATGAAATAGTTTCATGTTCTAATTTATTGTAACTTATTCATAAAATGTTAACATTTTAGATCTTAAATTGTAACTTTCCCCTTTTCTATGAATGTTCAGTCTTATTGATATGTATATGATATTTGTCATGATTGTTCATGATTTTACATTGTATACTGTATTTTTAATTATGTGGAGCCCAGGAAGAGTAGCTGGGTTTAAAGCACAGCTGATGGGGATCCTATTAATAAATAAACAAAAAAAGACAGTGGAAAAGAAGAGCGTGCTGAGAGAGTGGAGAAGTTGGTCAGACGTAACAGTGTGATGTTTTCGTCCCTCAATACCCTTGTGACCCTCAATACACGCTTGACGGACAAAGAGGACGTTTATTCATAACTGTAGTATGTGAATAGCATACGCCGTTTTTTTTTTGCTTACGCTGTTTGCGTAACTTTATTCCAACGGTTTAGCGGTTCCTATGTTTTAGCCTTCGTTTACCAAAGGATTTAGCATGCAGAGATGCACTCACAATACTGAAGAAAAACAAAAACAACAACAACACCAATTTTCCTTTAAAATAAAAGTTTTTGCATACTGTGTTTGGTTATATCTATCTTTACATAACATAATCTAATATTGAATAAAGGCCAAGAATGAGTCCAAATTTGACATGACCACAAGACATTGAACAGTATTTATTCAAGTTCTTCACTCTGGACAGCCATAGATACACATTTGTTCTCACATTTCCATTTTCAGAGACCCTTTAAAAATGTGTCCTCTAGCCCTTTGGTTTGATGTTAAGAATAGAATTACAAACCTTAACCTCAGTTAGCTAACATTAAACAAAGTTTTAATTCTCAAGGAATAATTGAACTTGTGACAATCAGCAATTTCACGTACAAAGCAGCTGAGTGCCAAGTGAGAGCTTGGATAGTAAAAAAAGTGTCTGAATATTAAAAGATAAAAACACAAACACATACTCACGATAATCGTTTTAGTAAATATGCAGGTACATAGCTATTATTATCAATTATTATTATGAACACTCTATTAAGGAACTCTCAATCCTTCAATTCAGGCTTAAAACATCTGACAGATTCAGTTATTCAGGTAAAGGTCTGAAATACAATCTGCCAGTATTTGAATCGCATGGAAAACTATTAATTCTCTTACCAATTGGAGTTCCATGAATGACTGGTAAACAAACAGGAAGAATCAGACAAGTCCAAATCCATGCCCGGGCGTCCATGTCGATACAGTCGTGTTTTCTCCAAACCTCACTCAGGCTTTATCTGCCCAGGCACTGCTGCTAAGGAGAGTTTGCAATTTACCTGCTCCTCTTTTCCAGCAATTGTGATTTATGGCAGGCTGTAAAATATTACAGTCAAGGTGTACAGTACCAAAGGTCGAGACAGCAACTGAGTTTCATTTTCCTTCAAATGTTGCAGAAGAGTCATCTATTATCTGACCACATAAGCTTGACTGAAGCAAGCTTTGTCCTACTTTGCATTTATGTCTATGTCTCAGATGTTTATTCAACCTATTTGTAATTATTAGTATCACGCTTGTACTTGCTGTTCAATAACTATATAAACTATAATAGCATCCCATATCTTTAGTATTTATTTTGGAATGCACTGAAACTGGCAATAACTTACAATTGAGTTGAAGACATAAAACACGTCATTTTATGGCATATTTGGTAAATACTATGTGCAGTTGTCAGGTGTTACTGTCAGTCCAATGGATAAGCTTGAATTAAGGTGACCATAAACTGGCAATGATGAAACTGGGATAATACCGATCAAAGCAAGCTTTTGTTTATAACTTCTCAGTTGACCTCAGAATAATTTCTGCTTATTGGAAACAGGATGAACATCTTTGGCAAATAGATGCTGCGACTTTATGTTTTTTCCTTTGGATCTTTGTTGACAGACACTTCTTGAAGCCATGTTTCATGATGTAAATGGTTTAATTTTAAGTTTGATATTTTCTGCTAATTACAACTAATGTGATCTCGGTATATTTTAAATATACAGTTAAATTCTAATCAAATTTATTGCAATATATTCATAATAAAAATGCATTCATTGGCCCTCTGCTTTCTCTCTTTTTTTCTAACCTGCTTCTGTTCCCATCATCTCTGTTAAGAATGTTCAATGCCCCAGGTGATCAAGTTAATATTTAGCTGGCAATAGCTTTAATCTTATCATATACCATGATATATCTGCCATGTCACAACTATTTTCCATTGTCCCATAAACACCCTCTGACTCCTATCTCTCCTTCATTCTCCTCCTCTTCTTGTATCTTAACCTTAAACACAGGCATGGTCTCTCTTCCTCGTCAAACACTTAATAAAAATATGTGATCTATTTAGAAGCCACTCTTTTCTTTAACACCGTGTCAAAATGTCACATTAATTATACCATCACGGTTCTTGTCAAATCATCTTTCTGCTTCCCCATCATACAGCGAGTATGATTCTTTTTATATAACTCAATATTAACTTTTCTTTTCTTCTTTTTTAAATATAATCTCTCCTTTTTAAAATATAATTTCTTATTTTAAAAACACAATTTCTTCTTTTTTAAAATATGACTTTTCTAAAATCAAAACTCCATGATGGATCCCACATGAACGACTAGTTAACTGCAATACAGTCTAAAATGTGGTGAAGAATTCTGTGTCCTGTTTATGCCCAAACAAATGTGAGGGTTGCATCAGGAAGGGCATCGGGCATAAAAAGTCCTGCCAAAGCTACCATGCGACTAAAAGCTGACTCGCTGTGGCAAATCTGATGGGCAAAAGATGACAAAAACAATTTGTATTCTTAGCCACATTTTTCTGTTGTATCCAGATGTATCCATCCATCCATTTTAATCTGTTTATCTGAGGTTGGGTCATGGATTCAACATGTTCTGGAGGGAAATCCATACAGCATTCAAAGCAAACACAATAAACTGGAAAAAAGCATACACTTATTGCATGTGATTTATAGGATATCAGTTCTTTCCTTCCCTGGTCAGTTAGTGAGTGACTGGACTTATGTCTATCATGTTGATCTACTTCTTCTTACAGAGACATGGCTGTATCAGGAGCATCAAATAGTCAACAATGAATCTAGAATCCCTTGAGCTGTTTAAATTTTTGCATCCCTCAAACCTCAGGTAGAGGACAACTACACATTAGTCCTGGATCCAAAATTGGTGTCTGTGACTAACTGTCTCACCTGCTGCTGTGTTTATAATAACTTCCCCCATTACATATTATCAATATTATTTCTATTCCTCTGTCAGTTTGTGTCATCATTTGTTCCAGGAAACATCTCAGATGCATCTTTTGACTTAAGACAAAAATAAAACATTTGAATTATCTGATTATTTGGAGCCATTGATTCAGACAAGGATCATTTTAGTCTACAGTGTCATCCAGTGACTAAGTAAATGTCTATTTTAAAATCTGATAGATAAATACAAAAGTTACATAAGTTCATCAGGCTCTGTAGAAGGCTGAAGACCCATTCATTTGAATCAGTTGTGCTGGAGCAGAGAAACTTGGAAGGCCTGCAGGGCAATATGCCTTGATGACCTGGGTTGGGAAATACTGATTAAGAGAGGTAAATCAGTATCTGGGTAAATAAGGAGCTGACTGTGATTCTTAATATGTACAATTTACTCCATCGTTATGTGGGATAGGCTCCAGTTCTCCCCGGCGACCCCATTAGGGAATAAGCGGTAACAATAATGGATGGATGGATGGGTTATGTGAGCCATAATTAAAAATTCCCCCAAAATGATTAACATCCAAGCTCCCATGGCCAAAGCATTCCCTTTTTTAAATATATTAATTTAGAGGACAAGATAAGAGGAGGGACGAGTCATTCATCAAACACCACAAAGGAGGTAAATTCTAATTGCTTTAGGACCTATGACACACACAAATGGAATTCTCTGATCTGCAAATGTAATAAACTGTTAGAATTTGGCTATAATTACTCCCTTTAGCAAAGTATGCTATCAAATAATCTATGTAAATTACTGATTGTCGTATTCCTTTTAGAACTATACTTTTGTGTTAAATTCTCTGGCTGTAACCACAGATTCTCTTTTACTCTCTTTCTCTCTCTGTTGCTTTAGACACATCATAGGACACATATACAAACAAACCTTGTTACCACATTCCAAGGTAACCTGCATTAATTAGGACCTGGCTGGTTCATGTCAGGGTTAGGGTTAGTAAATAACTGGCCAACACTTTTGAGGGGGTGTCCCTGGCCCAGGAGACAAATAACCATGACACACGGAATTCGGGGCTCTTTGCCGACTGAGACCCAGAGAGAGGTTTTGTCTGCCCAGCGCTGATATACCTTGCCTGTGACCAAATAAATGTAATTTTTTATACTTCCGATCCACTCTGGTTTATTTTCTCAGGTTTCCATCTAAAGAATCGGACTAACAAAACCAAAAATTCCTTTAAATTGTCTAGACTGAACCATTTTTCAAAAAGCATATTTTGGCTTTGAATTGCCTTTCAGAAAGAGGTTTTCCAGATTCTGGGGGCCTCTCGGAGTGGAGCTTCTCGGGTACTTCCGCTGTCCAAAAACAGAAATGTCAGGTTGTTTGGAGACTCTAAATTGGGTATGTAAGAGTGAGTGTGCATGGTTATCTATTAGTTTGTCCCTGTGTAGCTCTGGGGTTGACCGTTATTGTGTCCTGGGTGTACCTTGCCGCTACAAATAAGCGAACAAGCTGGTATGGAAAATGGATGAATGGATGTTCTTTGTATTTACCCCTAGATGTCCTCAGTAGTCTTGGTTTTGCTTCTTGGTCTCCTTTCACACTGCAGGCTGAATGATCATTTTGTGCACCCCCAAGTGATAGTTTAAAGTTTTGTGGACAATGATAAACTCTACACTTTACTGAGGGCATGTTATAAAGCACAGTATATCTGAGCATAACTATACATTGATATATTCGTGTATGTTACACAGCTTGAAAGCACACTTTCGATTCTGATATTTCTTTTCTAACAGAGACTAAATTTGAAGGTGTTCCTGGAACTATTCAATGTTGTAATGTTGACAAGAGCTTGGGATTTTATCTAAAGTAAAAATGTTGTTATCTTGCTTTTTGTATGACCATAGAAAATGTGTGGTTTCTCAACTCTACTTCTCTCAAACAAAGTTTTGAAAATGTCTTCATGGCGAATGTTGTGTTTCGTAATATTTGGAATGCTCTATTATTGATCAAAATTCCCTACAACTTTAACCCAGGACTGATGTTAATTAAAAATGATTAATTTAATGTCAGTGCTTCCATGTGCTGTATTTCCTAAATAAATCTTGTGTGCCCTTTAGAAACATGTTGGTACATCAGACCATTTTAAATTTAAAGTTCCATATGATTTGATATGCTTTCTATATAAGAAAGACCAAAGCAAGGAAGGCAACTGGCCCCAGACTGCTCGGGGACTATGCAGACCATTTCTGTGATGTCCTGCTGCACATTCTTAACCTGAGCCTATATCTGGAGAAAGTGCACGTCCCATTCCCTGTTCCCAAGGCTCGACATCAAAGGGAGCCAAATCACATCAGGTCAGTAGCGTTGACCTCCCATCTTGATGAAGACCATGCAGGATCGTCCTAAAACATTGCTGAGCTATGATCTATTTTCCTCAGTGAAATATACTCTTTAGTATTAGGTTTGCTTTCACTAATATTTGTTAATATTAATTTTATTGCTATCCGAAAAATATGTTTTAGATTGACTGCACTGTTACTTTAACTTTTCTAACTACAGCACTTTTACACTTCAAGCTACTTCCACACACACACACAGACACAAACAAAAATTCAAAATCTACAGTGCCCCCGCCCCCCATCCTATCAGTATGATGGACAACTGGACATGCAAAATTGAAAACTGAGCAGTCAACACCAGTGGCCAATTGACTGCTCATCCTCCTGAGATTCTGGGGATGGAATATTTCAATTTATTCATGTTATGGATAGCTACTTTTATATTTCCTGCACTGTGAAATTTCCATCCAGATATTTGTATTGAGATTAACATACTCTAATAAGAAACGGTGTAACATGGAAATAATTAATAATATGTTTTTAAGAACACGTGTTCATATCCAAAGCTGTATTCAGAAATCAATTCGCCGTACAAACAATTTCAATTAAAAAAATATTTGAATGTGTTTATCTTTATTTTTGTTTCGCAGCGTGAAGTCTCTGCTGGCGACTGCCGCCATCTTGTGTACATATGAGTGACTTTGTTATCGAGATTATCAATAAAGGTTTAGAAAAAAAAGTTTGCCACCATGCGCAGCTCCGCTTGGAGCTGAATACACTTTTTTGGTGGACGTGTAGACCTGCAATCACAGCTCTGTCTGTCAACATAAAAGAAAACAGAAACGCATACAAGTACGAAAGGCATCGGCTCATAACGTCAACGTTAATATGCCTTTCATCGAACTGCAGACTAACCTCCCGGCCAGCTCGTTCTCTGAGGACTTTTTAAAGAAGCTGTGCACGTGCACCGCGGATGTTTTGGGTAAACCTAAGGATGTAAGTAATTAGTTCCATGAATTTCTTATTTTACTCAGTTTAACTGTTGCAGTCTTGTACGTCAGCGAGTTCACGATTGACAAGACGAGATTTTGCAATAGAGTGTTAAGTCACCACAGCAAACAGCATTTCGGTTTGCAAATGCATTTAATTTGCGTACTTCTCGTCGTCCTAACTTCGAATTGCTCGGTGCAACTCTAAAGACTCAAACGGCTTGTGAATATTTATAGTAATATCTGTGAATAATACGACACACTGACATTAGAATAAAGATGGGAAGATTGTTTTGAGTGGTTGCAACAGGGTCTTTTGTAACCTTTATCTAGGGCCGATGTTACTGTTTAACCTGTGTCTGCGTGAACCGGCGACCTTCAGTCTGGAAGTATCGGTGGTTGCTATGGCTGGAAGCTGCGGCAGCTGTCGGAAAACCGGAAGAAGCTGTCTCGCAGTCGTGGGAAAATATCGCGATATTTGGAATTCCTTAAACTGTTAATACACTGTTTATGTTGCGTTAATATTTGTTTTTATCATATCCAAAACATACACAGCAGATTGTATGTGTATCCAGGAAAACAGGAACAGCTCCGACTTGCAGGACAGGAAGTAGCTCTAAAACCAACAAAATAAAGTGTGAACGATCCCACAAACTGTTGTAAACACAGAAAAAAATGTGATAGTAAGTTGGTTGGGGTGTTGTTTTTGTGGCGTAACGACAACTTTGCTGGTGAGTGAACAGGTATAACAGATGGTTTCTTTCAGTAGAAAACATGGAAAGGAGCACAACCAACATTTCAGCGTCTGCAGTAAAGATGTGCTTCCCACTGTCCCATCCCATGTCCAGGATTACTCCACCTGCTGTAAACAAGCATTGTTGTCCTCCTTAACTAGACACGTTTTCTACGCTGGTTTGGTTTTCTTCTACTTATTACCTTTCAACATCTATTGTAATGAGTTTTCATATCAAGGTACATTTTGTTTGCAAATGGAAGCATCTAATTAAACATTCCAAAAGTAAACTAAAACCAGCCACAAACAGGAAACACAATGGATAGTAAATAGATGGATGGTAAATCTGCAGCATGCTGGAAGACAAAAAGAAGAAAGACAACAAAGACATTAGTAGCAAAAGAAAAGGTGGAAAGTATCTCTGAGCTAGGCAGCAACAAGCGCTGTAATCCTGGACATGTCACTGTAAAGGAAAGGCACTGCATTGGGGGACAGTGAAATTTTTGTTTATCTCCATACCAACTTCGAAAACATAGTCTGGGGGCTGAAATTTTGCTGTGGGAATGCTTGAACCCTGATATTGGAATGCCATGAGCGAGTGTGCGACAGATGACATCAACACCTTTGTTATTTCCTAAAGAATAGTGAGATTCTCCCCAGATAAAAACCCTGGACCTGTTTTTTTTTTAGGTTGGGTGACCTCAAAAAGCTATCGAACTATTTTTTTCCCAGTAAAGTTGAAAAACAGCAAAAGTTAGAGTTGAACAGAAAAAAAAATCAAAATCCCAACCAACTTTGAGGTGTGCTATGAGGGGTACTTGGAGGTTTACCTGGTTTGCAGAGTGGGATGAAAATGCAACATTAAAGAGCAGCAGGCAGGTCAACAGGGATGTATAATCTCTCTTTTTTTTTAAGTAAGAAGGAAGTTAAAAAATGTTTATCTTGTCTTCAACTTTTGCCCCTGGCCTGACATTTGCTCTGATGAGTTCTGGCCAGTGGTTTCAGTCGGGATGTTTGTCTTTCAGAGGATGAATCTGGTGGTCAAACCTGGGCTTCCGATGCTGATCGCCGATTCTTGCTCTCCTTGTGTGATGCTGTCCGTGTCGGCCATCTCCGTAACCGACACTGCTGAGAAGAACAAGGAGCACAGCGCCAAGATCTTTGCCTTTTTGACCAAGGAGCTTGGCCTCACAGAAGACAGGTGGGTTTAATTGTCAGAAATATTAGTTAATGTGCTTTGTTTTTTACTTGGACCATAGCCCATCTTCCTTTTTTCCCCCCACTTTAAACAAATTCAGCTATTTTTTTTATTCATAGATTTAATCAATGTCCAGAAAAATATTATCTTTCACCTTATTCTTGTACAGAGTAAGTACAGCATTGTTAAACCAAATATAACTAAGGTTCCTAGCCCATTAAGTTGCTTTCCCTTTTAGAAATGTAGTTACTGCTAATTTTGTTTAAACTTATATGGGAATATGACTAGCCCTTAAGCTCCCTTCTCTTGTTTGCTTGATTTATTTGAAGTCTGATCCAAATGAACTGATGAGAGATATTCCAGTGGCTTAAAGAAATGCATGACTGTGAATTGTATGACATGAATTTGGATGCAGCAACACAGCTTAAAACAAAGAAAAGAAGTTCAAGTAATAATTCTCAGGTCATTTCAGAAATAGACTTTTTAAAAATAGTTTTGAGATGATAAAATTAATAATGCTTCAGGGGAGCTTTTAGGACAGCCAATGCTGTTTATTTAGTCACTAACCTCTTAGCACTTTGTTAAAGGAGATGGCCGAGTTCAGATAAAGATGATCTTTTTTGTCAGAAAGTGGAATCAAGTGTTTTTTTCATTTAAGCTCTGCATATATTCATAGAACCTTTAAATAGGCCAGCATTTGCCCTTTTATGAGATCCAACTGATGGGGCATATTCCATTCATTGTGGCCTCCTGAAGGTGCAAAATATGTTGTATATCTTAAATTGAATAAAGATTATAGTTTTTGATAACTTAACTGTTTTGTTTGCAGGATTGTTATTGTGTTCCATGCACTGCAGCCTCACCAAGTTGGGAAGAAGGGAACAGTCATGAGCTTTTTGTGAAATGAACGTCATCTGGCTGTTTTTTTTTTCTTCAAAAAGAAGACACTCGATCAGTATTAATGAATCATTTTAAAGATTTTTCCATCTTTAGAATTTAATCCAAGTTCACTCTTTTAAAAGAGCAACAGGTACATTCTTTAAACATCATGCCACTTCCTTAGGATGTTTTTTGATGAGGACCAAATAAGAATAGAAACCCTTTTTTTTTTTTCGAGTTTTGTTCCCCTGACAAAACTGAGTTGAAAATAAAGACCATAATTGTATAAGTGTGTTTGCCTGTTTTTTCACTGTTACAGTGTTTGCATGCTAGATAGGAGTGTTAAATGTTAAATCTATTAGAAAAATCTATTATAACATAATGTGCAGCAAATGGTGACGAGGCAGAAACACCTCCCAACATAAGCAGATGGAAAAACTCCATCATTGCTGATACTATCTAATTAATTATTGACAACAACTGAAGTCAGAAGCCGTCTGGTCAATTTTGCCTCCAGTGCCAATTTAATAACTCAAGTCACTTTTGCCACTATCTTAATTTGTAGGGAGACCACAAAGAAACCAACATAATGGCACAGACTGCTCATCTAAAATGTGATAGAGAGGCTTTCTTGCCCTAGCTTAACAGCTAACTATGGAACCATCCATTATCATTACCGCTTATTCCCTAATGGGGTCGCTGCGGGACTGGAGCCTATCCCAGTGGTCAATGGGAGGGGGGGGGGTACAACCTGGACGGTCTGCCAGTCCATTGCAGGGCCACACAGAGACACACAAGGACAAACAACCACACACACTCACAGCTAATGACAATTTGGAATGTCCAAGCAACCTAACATGCAGGTTTTTGGACTGAGGGAGGAACCCGGAGAGAATAGGGTATAAGATAAGAAATTAAAATATTATTAATATCTTAATAAGATATTCATGTAAAACAAACAAAGGATGTTTCAATGAAAGTTTGTAGAATGTTCACAAAGAAAAAAAATCAACATGCAATATTTGCTTGGAGATGCTAATGACTATTATCCCCATATTTGTGGGACACTGGATCAGACACTGCCTTGGCTTGGCAATAACTTTTGGCAGTGGCTTGGAGACAACAATTGCACAAAAGCAGAGACACATTTTAATCGTAAACTACTACAACTCTTCAAACTACTGATTTAGTTCTTACTGTCTTGATATCTCTGCAGGTCTATGTTACAAAACAAGTTTACCAACAAGATATAAAACTTTACCAAATTAAAACCTAGTCCACTAGGAATACTGTATGATTAATTTTAAAGAAACTGTTAGGTTAATAATGTTTCAAATTAACTGCACTTATTTGGAGGATTTACATCTCAACTCAATACTTGGAGTTTGACAAATCCTAAAATGTACCAATTATGGGTAGCCATTCGTGACATTTTTTTTCATGCTCTAATGCTAAGATTGGGGGAGGAGTAGAAATTCTGAACTATTGAATTATATGATGTTTTACATCACATGGTATTGTGCTGATATACTCTGTGTAATCATAATCTACAAGACCATCCAAGTGTTTCTAGTTTATATTAGAAATTTGAAAGACATCTGATATAAAGAGTATACATTCCTTCCATTAACATCCCATTTAAAGCACTGACAAGGCAGTTGTTTCATTTGTAAAGCCTATGTGATACTGTGGCTATGTGATTGAATATGAGGTACAAAGCACTTTTATGATTGTGCTTGGCGATGGTGTTTTGCTCTGTTCTGAGCTCTACGTGGGGCTGAGCAGGTTCCAGGGAGTCTGGGGCGGAGTCTGAAAGTTCTCTAGGTGGCACACCTGCGACCCGTCTAAGGATCTGGTATTGGCTTTTTAAGCAAAAACGAGTGGAGGGGTGAGAAGGGAGTAAAGGAAGTCATGGAAATGGCATTATGCTGAGTGGGAGCAGATCCTGAAATTACTTTGTGGGCTGACCATCAGTGAGTTGCACTGGAAATGTATAGATATACAGGTAGCCTGTGTATTATTATTATTTTTTTGTTAGTTATTTTGGTTTAAGTAAAGGGAAAAGGGATTATGCCATTGAGTATGTTGGGGATGTTTATAGCTAGTGTGTGTCAAATTGCTTTTTAGGGGTCACAATTGTAGTAGATCCTATGTTTTTGTCTTGACAAATTTCCATTTGGCATCTACTAAGATTTTATTCCATGGTTAAACCTTACAAAGAGGACTGAACCTAATCAAGTGATTTACATAGTAGAGAGATTTTTCTTAAAACTCAAATGCTTGTTAGTGCAAAAACAAAATGATATGAAATACCTAATACAAAATAGCCCAACACAAAATTATAAATATACATATACAGATTGTAAATTCTTTAGTCTTTAAAATAAAAGTATCTTTAAGTCTTTAAACTGCAAATAAAAATCTTACAAATCTATAATAATCATAGATGTACATAATCACAAACCATGGTTGGATGAAAGACCAGGAACACTGCGCTGGGCTTTTTCCTGAATGGTTCAGCTCTCCAGTGTTTCTGTTTTCCATCAAAAACAGGATTAGTATATTAACATGTAAATGACTGTTAAAAATGTGTATCAGAATTTTATCATGGTTCATCATAAAAAAAAAAAGTAAGTTATTTGTAGGAAAATGTAAACAAAAATGAGATTATTATATGCTGAACAAGGCGTATGCTTTTTTTGTGCCTTGTTTTCATCCGTGTGGTACACATAAATGTAAAAATACATACAAACATATTCTGTGTACTCCAGTATTACAATGGAACTCGCCAATCCGTCTCCTTACTTGCTCCCTGGAAGACATACTGAGTATTTGGGACAAGGAGACCTAACAGAACTGACCTCATGGTTCTGGTTTATGGCTCTTCTTCTGTGGCAGACATCTCTTTTAGCACTCTGGCAGTCTGTGTTGTATTGATCCTTCTCCACCTTCCTGGTGTGCAAGCACCAGTCCTGGGAACTCTTATTAAACACTTTAAAGGTGCCCTGGCACAAACATTTCATTACTTTTGTGATTATGTCTGAAGTTCTACAATGGATAACAGCACTTCCTCTCCTCTCTCTGGGTTCTTGGGCAACATGTGCATTGTTAAAGTTCTGTTTGAGCATATTACACAAGAACGTAGACGTTCAGCCATCCTTGCTGTCTATGAAAACTGTCACTGTCCGAGCTAGCTGAATTCTGTGTATCTAAACTGGGCAAACTAATAAATAGCAATGAGCTCAGTCAATTCTACTGATAAACTTTCCTAATTGGCATGATTTCTGCACTTATTTCTTTTCAGTGGCTGTAGCAGACAGATGAGGTGGCGGTTCATTCTCACATTCACTACATCACATATGGACCTAACATATTTTATAAAATTGAAATAAAAACGGTTTGTATTATACCTGGTATAAGAGTCTTTGAGTTACTGAATATCTACCATGACTGTGGATTTGACCTGCAGACTGAAATTAAATGATTACATTTGACAAATGATCTGTAACTAAATGAAATCCTTTATATTTTTTCAAAATGTTTTATTTTTTTATCCAAAGTGCTTTATTTCATGTATACAACTAACTACAAATAGCAAACTAAGTGTTGGAAATATCAACAGAACAGTACTGCAAAACATATTGACCAGATACAGCAGCAATATAATATTGAGAATTATTCAAAATGTCTGGGACATCTGAAAAACAGATTTGTGACGTACCCCTCAGCCTGGCAGAAAACGCACGGCCTACTGCCTCCATGATCTTGTGCGCCACATACTAGTTATGAGTTACTCCCCTCAATCCCAGACGCTATAGCGCTTTCCTGTTGGTGCCACAGTTGCATTTTTACTTAGGACCTCCAACTTCTCCCAAGTTACGAATCGGAACCGACACACCAGGCCACCTAATTTCTGGTGATGTTCTTCTGAGAACATATAAAAGGTGATAGTATACAGTGTTCTCTTCAATAGTTTAGGTTTGTGAAGTGAAGTTATAGCTCCATCCTTCTCCTCCTCTAGCCACCACTTAACACAAAGGATCAGACAAATGTGTCACAACAGCAACAGACTGGTTCATGAGTCCCTTATTGGCATTCCTTTAACCCGTGAGTTTGCCAAGAAAACTAGACGCTACTTAATTCTCAAGATGTCCACTGCTCCAAAAAACTTAATTTTGACATAGTCCAGATGTGATGACTCTGAGTGGACCAGCAAAGTGAAGCATCCTCCACTTCTAATTGATGACATCTCATCAATGTGGTCATAAATTTGAAAAAAAAAAGACTTTTCTCACTTGTAGTACTTTTGCCTTCAATTGTGGAAGACAGACAGAGGAAGCCTTTTACACTTCAAAGGTCAAGAGGCAAAAGTAATCAGTAGTTGAGGTTTTAAGCCCCCAGATTGAGAACGGAAGTCCTCCAGCATCCAAAACTGAATATCAATAAGCTCCTACCCTCTGCGTGAACCAGGGTGAGTAAAGCCCATAAATACAAAATACAAAAACAAATCAAATCATTTAACAAAATCCAAGAACTAGCAATATACTGTATCAAAAGCTTTTTTTTCTGACCACTACAAAATACAATGAGCCTATATGAACATTATCTTTAGTAACATATTTTCCTTCATTGTTAGTCCTGTTACACATCTGACCTGTGCACCCCTTCAGGCTATTTATAGGCGCCCTTACAACAATTTCCAGTCCATACAAAGAAGTTAGACTTGGTTACACTTCAATTCTAAAATTGAAGCAGTGGCACCAACATCCATTTCTCCAAAAAAATAAAAGTCCTTGTGTTTTTCAGTTTTTCTTTTTTTTCCCCCCTGGCACAAAGATTAGAACCACCCATGTGCAGTTCAAAAGCCTACAATCCAACCACAGCCAAACACAAAAAACTCCTCTCCTTGTAAAAGCCAAAAAAAAACCTAGAACTCTTCTGGGAGACTGTAAATTCCAGAGGGTTGACAACAGCTGGACTGTTGGAGAGCAGCAGACACTTCCTCAAAGGAAACGGTGGGATTTAAAAGAGATGGCTGATCTTCGCCGCGCCGTGGTAGATCCTCCAGTTATCTCAGTCACACAGTGATTACAGGTATCAGCATCGAGCATGCAGGTCGTTGTAAAAATATACAACTAATTTATCTATCTTCAAAGGTGGCCTGTCCAGGCAGTGCCCACCTCTTGTCAAATGGGGGCTGAGAAAAGGCTGGATGGAAGTGCATCAACTATTTCTCGACTTTAATCATTTTCTACAGCTGTAAAAGGAATTGTGTAAACAGGCAAGTTTAAATGAATCCACTTTTTGTATTTTTTTCCATTTATTATATTACTTAAGACTGTGCCTGGGCCGTAAGTTCCAGCAATTACACTGTCCCCCAAATAGCTTATTTCCAGATCTAAATAATCAAGATATTTGAACTTAGCCCCCCCCATTTCCCACCTCATAGAGATCAGAGATGTTTGAAATGTCCTTTATTCTGAAACAGTTTGGTGTTAAATGGCCAGATTTGTGCTGACCACTCACCATTTCAGTGGTGAGAGGTTTGCATTGTATGAATTGTACAAAAAATGCTGTTTTAAAAAAAAAACACTGACCTCAACATTATCAGTTAGTATTATGTGATGAAAATGATCTTGAGGGAAAGGCGTTTGCGTCATGGCCCCACTCAAACCCGACAGTAATGTCATGTACCACGAAAGGTACCAGAATCTTCAGATGACCATCCCGATGCTAAAGTGCCTGGAGGCGCACGACGCGCTGCACCATTGTCTACGAATGACTCCAAATACGTTGCAATCCCCCCAAAAAGGGGGTCCACTCAAACGGAAAACACCGTTCCCCCATTTGGTGCCTGTGGTGCAACCAAAGGGGGGGACTTATACCTAAACTCCCGCAGTCCGCACGCCGTCCTCCGCTGAGACTGGTGACTCTAGGACCACTTTTACGCAATTTGGCACGGCTTGCGAACCCACATCATGGAAGGGCATCAAGCCCAAAAAACAAAACAAAAACAAAACCTTAAGGGCTTGTTTAGCTGTTTCCAAAAATTCCTCGAGGAATACCTCAGTGCACAGTAATAAAGGCAAGAGGGAAAAAAACACACACACCCCCAAAACAGCAGTTTAGCATTCTCCCCACCCACTCATCCTCCCACGCTCCCAGAATTCAGTGCGAAAGACACAATGAACAAATGTTATTCATATTTATTTTAATTTGATACACTATTTCTATTGATGTGATCTGCGTGAAAACCCCTGTGTGCAATTTAGTTGATGCAGTTGCCCGATACAGTCCTGAGAGTGTTTCACATACTTCTTAGGACTCGACCCTCTTCACGTTTTTGTCGTTCCTCCACCTTTTTTTTGCGTGGGTTCCCGTGGAGAAAAAAAACGCAATGGTGAAGGTGGTAAAGGGGTTGACGGAATATAGAGGAAAAGTGAGGATGGCACATACAAAAAATAAAGTCCATTCATAGTACGCTATCTATTATGTTGGGTCTGTTTCTTCAGGGAGAACAGGGGAAATATTTTGTAGACACTTATTTTTAAACTGTCGAATCCTGAAGATGGTGTTTGACATTGTTATTTTTTTAATGCAAAATGTAATTTCACTTCAGGCACGTGGAATGGAAGGCAGAAAGAAAATAAGTATTTTGGCTATATATATCTCTGCAATCTATGATTCGTTTGCCTGTTGCAGAATATTCCGAATTTCCTTAAATGTAACGGTTTACATGCGGTTGTTTTAGTCCTCACCATTGTGCGTTTATTTCTGTCTGATACAGGTTTTTTTCTCAATTATTATGAACTCATAGTTCTCAGATGGCACTAGTAGGGCTCAGTTATGAAGTCAGGATAAAATGTTTCTAGCAAACCATCTCCCTTGTTTTTATTTTCTAAAATTTAATTCCAATATCTAACCAACCGTGATGCCAGAAAACAACTAAATTATGCAGCGAAATAAAGATGACGCCAGTTGCGTTTCAGTTAAAGTAGTTGGTGGTATCATTGTGACGGTGACCGCAGTTTCTTTACACAAAACAATTAAAAAAATCATGTAAAAAAAAAACTTGTAAAAAATACACTTAAATGTATTGTTCTCTATCATTGCCAATAGTGAAAATAGTTGGGGATAAAAAGTCGATCGTATAGCTGATACTGCAAAGACCTGCAGTTTCAAAGAAACAGTGCATTATTTTTTCATGAAAAAAAAACACGTTAAGAAGTTTTTCTTTGGTTTGGACATCATAAACTCTTAAGAGCGACTGTAGAATGCAACAGAACACGAAAGCACAAATGACAACGCTAATTTGGCTGGTCAAACTTTTAATATATTTAAAGAAGTGCTGAATGGACCTTGCAAAATGTATATGGTCTCAAACTCAGGCTGAATGGGTTTATTTTTCTCACCGAAGTTCCCACTGTAACTTCGAGAGTACAATTTGCATTGTGCGTTTTTTTTCTGTTAAACTTGAAAATCGCCAAAAATAGTTCAATATTCTTTTTTCAGAATGCAGTACAGTTTATTTGAGGGTGAAGAATGATTGCAAAACTCAAACGTAACCAATGTTTCTGTGACGTGTTCATTTTTTTTCTCTGAGATATCAGGGCACAAAACGTTGGTCATACAACATTTCCAGAAGTGTGAAATTGATGTTGGGATGAAAAACTAAAGAAAAATTCCATAAAAGCGAAGACAACATCAACATATTTACACACTATCCAAGCAATGAGACTCAAACAAAAAAACAAAAAACAGAGGACTATCTGTTGGGGGTTAAATACGTTTGATTTAGGGATTCATTAACTTGTTTTGATGTGGTCATATATTCACAATTACACAAAAAATGAAAATGGTGCTAATTTATAAAAGCAAACCTTTTCTGTATGCTGTAGTCCCGACATAATTATGATCTGGACCACTAACTATTATGTAATTCAAGTGTCCAGGTGTCGTTGAGGCCATTTGGAGCCACCAAAGTAAACTCTGATTTAATTATTGAGGACCATAAACAGCTCAACACGACCTCTGATGCTGAATGAATGTCCCGTGGCTGAATGGACGTTATGGGGGCTCTTGGCAGAACCGGTTTCCTGCGGACCCTGTAGTCCCCCCCTTATACAGCCCCCCATCCCAGGCACTGTTCTCTGTCAGATCCAGAAGTGTAGGAAGTCCTCATTTGAGGCGCAGACGCGTAAATGGAATGAATGACTGAGTTGCCCCTAATCCAAAAAAATTATTTTCAGATCAGACATTATTTCAGTAAAAAACAAGACTTTGCCTGACACATTTTATATCTATAACCTCAGTAGTCTTTTTCGTTTTGAAAAGAAAACCAAATAAATAGTTAGAAATAAATAGGAAATGCAATGGCAAAAATTATATATAAAAACATTTACATATCCTATATTTTTATATGTATATATATATATATATATATATATATATATATATATATATATATATAAAGGCTATATAAAGTAAGTTGGGGGTATGGCTGAACAACAAAGTCTAAACAACGGATCAAAAATCAGGCCAATTTGCGCTTTGACCAAATGGTGGTTTATTATGGACACTCTTTACATCCCACATAAAACATTAAACCTTCACTGTAATTTCACACAACATAGACATTATAGTCACAGGAGTGACGCCACTATTTATTATTATTTTCTACTTATATATATATTTACACAAGAAGCTCATCCAAAGAGCGAAAGGCATCGTGTTTCCCCAATTTCTTCCTTTTGGACACCGTTAACAGTCTGGAAGCAGCACGTGGGGACTCAGCATCATCTCAGATCTTCTGGTGATCTTCCCGTTTAATCTTCAATCCCGGCATCCCATCCATCTGTCGCCTAGGCAACTATGTTCTACCGTAAAGGCGAAGATGGACGAGGCCAAAATCTGACCATTTAATCCCCAACCGAGTCAGGCCTGCGGACACGTAGCCCCGGACACACCACAACCTTTAATTGTGTGGTTCAAACGTGTAACCGAGAGAGAAAAACACACAAAAAAACAGACAACGAAACGACGGAGCGGACGTCCAGAGACAACGAGAGTTTGTCGTTTCTGTGTCATCCCTCTAAAACGCACACACTATTTGAGTTCCAGCGCCCAGACATGCTGAGGCCATCCCGTCCGACCTTTACTCTTCTTATCGCTTGCTGACGAAGATGTGGATGATGAGGATGAGGACGTTGCTTTGGGGATCTCCTCCTGTACGACAAATATCACATGCATTATTATTATTATTATTATTATTATTATTATTAGAAACACATAACTTCCCATCCCCTGTGCAACAGTCTTATGGGAGATCCAAGGACCTCCTGTTTCTTCCCATTTTATGGTCATAAAGCATCATTCTCTGTAATATAACCGCAGCATTGGTCCTCTCATCATTTTGTCGTGGACGGTTAGATTACAGTATATATATATTTTTACAGTAAACTTCTCGTGTGCTGGATGACGCAGACCTAATGATGATCCATTTATGTCCGAACTGTTGCCAGGTTTGACCCCGTTATTTAAATAAAACATAACAAAACAAACACAAAACAAAACGAACTGTTGGCATTGGTAAAGGAAAAAGATGTGAATAGATAATCGGTGCGTGGTACAGCAGCCCTATTTATATTTACATATATGGGTAATGCCACACACACACATATATATATATATATATATTCTTTATTATATATCTAGTTTTTAATATCCTTTTTTAAATCATTTTCCCGGGACGTTATCATTTGAGGAAAATAGAGCCTATGGATGGATGAAGGAGCAAAACTTCCTGTTTGCTGTTTTTAGGACTGGAAAATGTCCCGTTGATTGGTCACTGTTTGGCAATTTGATGAAAGGGAATCTCCCATGTTTTGTTGATCAGCCAGGCTGAAGTAAAAAAACGGAATCTGCAAGATTTTGCCACCACTTCTTGACTAGGCCCCCCTTTAATTCTGCATTTATTTAAAAAGAAAAAAAGAGCTCCTCAGCTCAGTCAGTGAGCTGATGATTGGAAAAAAAATAGCAGTAAAGCTGCGTTTGACCTGAAATCTGCAAAAGCAGATGTTTGGAAGTTTAAGAATGGATAAAAATAAGGATTAACATTTGACCAACAATGTCTTTGAATCCAGGTATTGCTTTCGTTTTACTTTTTTGGGCTATTTAGTAACAGTACTCCAATAAATCATTATTAAAACTAATCATTGGCTTAAAAAGTAATAACAGAAACTCAACAACAGCCCTGATCTTTAAGCCAGAGTGTATTTCTGTGTCCCTGTAACCTCTCTAGGACGGAGGGCTGCAAAATAAGACCTGGAACGCGTAAAAGCGCGTGTTTGTTTTGCTTGACGTCATATTGTAATTTTGTAAATGAGTTCTTTACAGGTAAAACATTGCAAACTTTTACCTGTAAACTTGTGTATTGGTTTAGTAAAATGAAAATCTCCAGTTTCGTGTTAGATGTTTTCATACAAATGTGTGTTTTAGTAATGAGAGATTAATACCCACAGCAATAATCAGTTAATTCAGGGGAAATGTGCACGTACACATATCAAACTTATCTTGTTCTGAAAATAAATATACACGGTCCAGCAAAAGCAACAAGTGGTACCAACAATATTTCTGTCCCGGGAAAAATGTTTGGTCTAACATAATTAATAATCAGTTTATTTTCTCAATTTTTCTTTTCTCTTTTCTATAATGGAGCTCTCTAATGCATCTTCAATTTTAAAGTCCTTCCCTACAAAAGTGTTTAAGATTAACTTTCAGTTATGTTGTCTGGAGAAGAATCCTGCGTATGTTTATTATTTCTCTCCTGCACAACGAGCTGGTGTGAGTCAGATTTTTACTTTTTTGTCCCGTAGTAAATTTTCAAAAAGACAAAAGAGGCGTGTTTGCTTTCGTGGGTTGGGTGGATTTGACACTGATACAAAAATAGAAACAAAAAACGTAAAGAATAATGTTTTCTATAAGCCTACATTAAAACGTGGTGTCCAAAGCTTGCACAGAGCAAAAAATAAATAAATTCCTCAGGCCTATCCGGATTACGATGGCTACACGAACCAGGGAGTACATTTCATCCTGTTAAATTATTCTTACTGACTCTTTCGCTAAATGTAGTAATTTCCACTGACTTGTCCTCAATGCAAAAATGGAATATAAATGTTAATTGATGCGTAAAGTGAGACCTGCATCTGATAGCAGATCACTAGTCAAATATAAGAAAATGATCTGTAATAGTAATGCTGTGAACAGATAATACCTTTAGCTTGGACATTCTAAAGAATGAATAAATAATTGTAAATAGCACTTTTACCTAATATCATCACTTGTTTCGAGTCAAAATCTCGTAGACTTTGCGAAAAGTTAAAAAAGAAGAACTCGGAATAAGTATTTTACCCTCTGTTAACACTGATGTTAGAGCATAGAAACATACAATCTGTAGTTATACATAACCTGCTTTTAAGTGATTAATCAAGGCAATATAAGGCTTCTGGACAAAATGAACAAAACTAAAACAGCTCTCTGACATGTGACCTATACAAAGACTCAATTTATGCCTTGGCTTAGAAAAGTAAATTACCGAAATAGTGCGAAACAGGTTTAGGTGGGTTTATAATCCATACAGGCTCAGAACATGTTTACGAGTTCATCACGTTGAAAGCAAACTGCTTAATAAATCCTTAACTTATATCTGCTTGTAAGAACGACTTTGCAGATGAGGTGTAGAGCTCGAATGCTTCATTTGGAAAATGTTTTTATGTAAACCCTGTGTTGCCTCGTTTCCACAGTTTCCCCTTTCCTCCTAAACAACATCTGACCACTTCCGTTGCAAAATATGACATTGGAATGTTTAGATCAGATGTTTTTGTCAGAGATCCATTTGGATAACACCGGGTTCAAATAGCTTTAAACTAATACCGTCTAAATGCGTAATCTGGGCTTTTGTTATTTGATAGTTGGGTTAAGGAAGTACAGAAATCGTTCAATCCTCTGCTCTTGTTTCAGAGCGAACGCTGGCCTCTTCGAAATGAAAATGCAATGAATTCCTTACCGCCTCTCTTTTCCTCCGCTCCTCCCGAACCTCTGTCTTTTTCAGCTCTGCCTTGAATGCGTGCGCGTCTCCGTGCTGTCCGTCCTTGTCCAGGAGGTCCATCAAGTAGGAGATGTAGCTGGTGGCCAGCCTTAGGGTCTTAATCTTGGACAGCTTGGTGTCGGCCGGCACGTTCGGAATGCACTCTCTGAGCTCGGCGAAGGCCGAGTTGATGCTCTGGGTTCGCCTCCTCTCCTTGCGGTTCGCCGTGGGTCTCCGCTTCACGGTGCGCGGGTGCGCGTGGTGGTGCACGTCCGCCGCGGACCCGTTGACGGAGAGCGCGCCCGGGCCCGCGATCAGGTTGCCCGGTGCGTAATGGTGATGGTGGTGAGGGTCCAGGCCGCAATTGGAACCACCGCCTCCACCTCCTCCGCCGTTGCCGTGGTACTCCGGACTGTAGCCGTGCGCGATGCCGTACTCTGTGGGGGACACGTCCGCGTGGCTAATCAGCCAACTGGTGAAGTACGGGGGCGCCCCGGTGTCCTCGTGACACCGGCCGGCCGCCGCCACATGCAGGGAGTAGGCATGGCTGTCGCGATGATGCATGACCGGGTGGTGAGGGCAGCCGGAGACCAGACTCATCGTAGCGCATAGAAAACACGCACACAAACCAAAAGCGCACGCAGGTCCCTGTAAAAAACGATGCCCGCAACGGTGGATTCAAACCATGTGGTTAGATTTTGTTCATTCTTTTGTTGCCTTACGCGCAGGGGACGCCGGACGTCTCAGACGCTCGGGTCCTGGATAATATTCCTCCCAAAAAAAAAAAAAACTCCCCGGATGCGACGGGCCCCGGCTCTTCGCTACTCCCAGTTAAGCCGTTTCTCTGCCCGGGACATCGTTCTTAAACGTCCTTTTCTCCTTGTGGAACAACAACAACATGCGCTTTTTAGTTCCCCCGGTGCAGACAGTCAACCTCCAGCTGTTCCTCCTTTTTTCTCCTTCTGGTCCCTGACATCTCATGCCTCTCCGTTTTTGAAGTTATCAGCTATCAGCCTCTCAGTCCTTTGGTCTCAAAGCCCGACTGAACAGTTACTGGATCATTGTTCCCTAGCTGATACTGGGTAATTGTAAAGTCAGCTCGTCTGATTGAAATAGAGAGAGAGAGGGAGAAGGAGAGAGAGAGAGAGAGAGAGAGAGAGAGATGGGGGGTGGGGGTGGGGGGGTTACTCCATAATGTTTTCTGCCTGGGCGGGGAAACTGACTTCACAGTCTGGATTAACCAATGGGCGATGCGCACCCCTGCTCAGGCCCCGTCTGCAGGTTCAGTTTAACCTACTTGTCTTAAATTTCAATGGCCTGCGAAGTGGACCTTCTGACACGAACGCACGGCCGCGCGCAAGCGGTTCACGTTTACGCATAGGCCTACATGTATATATATATATATATAAAAAAATTGAAAACAAAAGCAAAATACGTCAAGACTATAAATAGCCAAAGATGTATCAGTGCAATTCGTTCAGCTTTTGTTTAAGTCTACAGTTTTTCTAACCTTAAAATTAGGATGTTTAATATTTTTCCACAACAAAGCGCACCTTTTTCTGCTACTAGAATAAAAAGAACAACCTCCAAGACCCATGTGATTTTTTTTCTCTATGCTACAAGATGTCAAAATCCTACACTGGAGATGAAAAACACACATCAGTCTGACTTCAAAATGCGCGATGCGCTTTAGTTGCATGAATCTATCGACGAGTTACAAGTAGAATTAGGTGATGTCAAAGTGTCTATGAAACCTACTTTGAAATTATTTCCTTTGGACATTTTTGATGATGGAATAAAAAGATTCTCACTGCTTTTCTTTGGCACAATATACGTATTCTCATGCGTATTCTCAAAAACTATGTAATTCTGTAGGTGCATTCGTCTAAAAATGTTGCGAAATTATTGAGCCAAATTTTTGATTACAGGTCTACAGATATCTTTTGTGTTTTGTATTTTTTCCTGCAGAAATTTAGTTACTTTACATGATCGTTGCATATTCCGTTTAATATCACTGTTGGTCAAATAATAGCAGACAGGTGTTGACAGATTTGGAAATTCAATTTTATTAATATAAAGCTATAAATGTGCAGAAAATAAAAAACAAAAATAATATAAAAATATTATTATGAATATGTAAAGTCATATTAATTGTACTGATAACATCTATCTTTATTTCAACGTTTAAGATTGTTGTGTTTTCATTTAAAACGGTTGATTATGTGAGTTTTGGGCTCTGAACCCCACGCAGCTTCCACAGGTTTCAAAGTGAGCGGCGTGTGTGGAGCCATGAGCCTTCGAGCACCCCCCTTGACATGTTTCTTTTTTATTTGGGTCCCAGTAGGGGGTACATGGCCGGACATGTCGTCAGTCCATTCACATTTTCGTCAGTGTGCCCTGACCTCTCATTTACTGTGATTTTGCACTATGAAACAATCTGAACTGAACTGATCTCAATTCACCAGAAATTATTATATTGGTTAAACTGATAAAAGTAAGACAAAACATCAATGTCAACAAGCGCACATAGATGCCATTGGATTGGAAAAATAACCAAATCTCAATCTTACAACTCACTGTGAATACAAAGTAGGGTGGACAATGTTTCTCTTTATGTTTATACAATCTTTTAAGAATTATTTCTTGTAGAATTAAGGGTAAAAAGGTCCACAACAGGCACCACTGAGCAGCTAGCCTTCTATATCAGTTTGTTCCCTAATTCATTGGCTTTAATTTTACCACTACATGACACATTTTTGTGCATTAGCCCTTTCTTGAAAACAGCATCTACGTTAGATTTTTGGTCCAGTCTTATTTCTTGGTGAAGTCTCTTATATCTGTACTTCTAAAAACACCTCTTATCTCCTAGAATGGAGACTGTATTTGGTTTAAACATGGGCCTTCTACATCCTATACTATCTTCTATTTTGTTTTGTTTAGCTTAGTATTAGATTTTTTTTTTTCTCCATCATGCAACAAAGTGAATGGACATTTCCAAGTAACTCTTGTCTACCACTTATGAACCCAAAAACTGTGGAATGATCTTGGTATTTCTGACTGTGGAAAGACATGTGTTTTCTGCTCCACATTTGATCTCAGTGTTAGCGGAATTTGATCGAGAGCACTGGAGAAGTAAAAGAACACGATCCATACAGTGTTGCCTCTTTGAACCAGATGATAGATGGGAATGCTGAGGCAGGTATGATGGACATCTTCACCATAAACTGAGAGGCAAACTATAATAGATCTTGGAAGATCTTCGCTTGATTGGATAAGAACTTTCTACTGACCCAGACTGTGGTCAAAAAGGTGCTGCAGTATGCTGCATTGCTGAATCTCAGGGCCCTCCTGTTTGCACCACCCAGAGCTGTAACCTTGTTCCTGTGCAGTCTCCCAGCTGCCCCCTTACCTGCTAGCTGGAGGCGTGCAGGTTCCAGGGAAAGCCGAGCAAAGTTTACAGTTTTGAGTTGTTATTGAGGCTGTGTTAACATTAGGCCCGCGACTTAACTGCATTACGTTAGAGTCAGGTTTGTTTTTCCGGCTGAACTTCCTAAGTGACGCTCAGGTTGCACCAAAAGATGACAAGATGTCATTCTAGGTCCATGCCTCATTAAAAAGTAACACACATAGCATTTTTTATGGTAGGTAGCAATTTGAACCAGTGTTTACATGACAAACATTTACGTGTTTATCGGGCAATTTTATCCAAAGCATCTTTTAAGAAGGGCTTAAACTTAAATAGTCCATAGCCAAGGAGGCCACATGCTTATCCACTTGGCAACTGGGACCAGAGGGGCAGCTTTAGAGTATTCTACAAACACAAATAAAATTACATGCAATGTAAATGAGTTTAGGAAAAAACGAAAACTACTGTAAACTGATATAATTGTACAAAGAATGAAAATGACAAAACTAACATGTGTGAGAAGCATAACCAAAAGGTCTACTGGACAATCCTAAATATTTTAATGGTACCATAACATATGTTTTTTCTGCAAGATTTGAGACAGTTTTCATAAGCTGTTTGTATCACCTAATTCTAAATAAGAAAGTGCTAAAAAGAAAGGCCGACTAAATAATAATCAGCTTCTTACATTTTCCTCACATGAAATTAAGTTGCTAAGAGTTTTTTGTAGCACAGTTTCTTTGCAAATCCTGTGCTAAAGTTGTTAAAAACATCTGATAAAAACCTGGTTGCACAGTCTTTTACTATCCCCTATGGCTGGAATAGATGTAACATGCACGTTCCTTAGTACAACCAACAAGAAAATGCTGCCAGAAAGCTGGCAGATGTGGTTTAGCAGGTTGGATGCGAGTGGGAGAACTCAGATGACAAGCCTTCATAGAGAAACCAGAGGATAGTTGACAAGTGGTGAAATGTTAATTAGTTTTTCATTTGACTTTAAATACCCAAATATGTTCTCAGAAAAAAATTGTGTCCATGATATAACTCTGATAATACTTATTTCCACTACACAGAACAGTATACCTTAACCCACTTTGAGTACAATTGTTTTCAACAGAATAAAAAAGCTAAAGAACCAGCAACAGCACACCCAGACAACCAAGAGTAGCCCACACTTCATATTGTTCCATACACATTTCTGTAACTAAATGGCAGCAAAACATTTTGCGACAAACTTTGGCAACAGTTTCCATGTTGTTTTAAAAGTATAGCTGGAATTTATTTTACTCTGCATGATGAGATCTCCCCATCAACCTATAAGTCCCTTCAGATCACATTTTGTCAGAGGTTTGCATACTAAAATAAATTTGGTTTTTAACGGAGAGAAGGCAAGGATTACATGCAGCAAATGGTCCAGGTTAGAACTAAAATCATTGCCCTACAGTGTTTAATCTTTAGAGAAGATGAATATGTTTGATGTCTTGTTATGACACTAAACTCAAATGCAACATTAATAGGGAGGATTAAAAAGGGTTTGACAGTCAAATCAAATCAAAATTCTGATACTGACCCCAATTTTGTTTTTCTGTAATCACAATCAGGACCGACTGCTCTAGATTTCAATTTGGGCAAAGTATAATAAGGTCACTAGCCTCATTGGGTAACGCTAACTTTGCAATACGTGACAACGTTAATTTCAGAAGTAAAATATTCAGTGTAGCCATTTTATACTGAATTAAACATGAAAGAGGTCTCAAACCTTAGTTTCAACAATATCTTTGAAATTTGGCACCTTTTTGGTTACTGCATCAGTTGTAATTATTTCTAGCCTTTTCTTTGTGCACACATTTGAATGAATCAAACTTGTGATATGAATATATAAGTTTTCCATCAGAAAACATGTACGTGTGAAAATTCAAATGGAATAAAGCACTTAAGTAGAAATTTCCTGGTCTACAAAAACTGCAACTGGTGTATGGTGTACAAAGAATTGTGAAATAAGTTAAATAAACTCATTCCATGTTTTTTTCTATTAAAAATCCTCTTGAATATAATTACGACACATCACAAAAAAGTTGAGACAGAGAAATAATGATCATTATGGGCATTTACTCCATGTCAACTGAAGAGACCAGTTTGCTTAAGGTTTGGGCAGGGAATGTTGTCAGAAATATTGTTGCCTAAATCATTTGTTGTTTTGGCTGAATTATTTGTATAAAGGTTAGTGCATAGGTATAAGCTAAAATGTTTGATACCTATCAAACATTTTAGCTTATACAAAACTATTTGCCATGTTTGCATAGTTGGTCAAGATCCTAAAACAATTTTTAATCCTGCCAACATATTTGATGACATTTTCTTTATCTATGCCCATTCCATTTATCTTTCTCCACTTATCTGGAGTTGGTCGCAGGGGGAGCAGCCGAAGTAGGGAAGTCCAGACTTCCCTCTGCCCAGCCACATCTACCAGACCCTCTGGAGGCCCGTGAGGTCTTCCCAGGCCAGCCGAGAGACAAACTCCCTCCAGTGTGTCCTAAGCCTTCCTGGGGTCTTCTCCTGGTGGGACGTACGGAACTGCTCTTTGGTCCACAGGCACAAACAGCAGTCGAGACCCATCCCCCCCAACCAAAAGTGGAAGGAGGCTAGCCTTTTGTCCACTGGGGCGAACCCCAACATACAGGCACCAAGCTGGGGGAAATAGGTATTCCCACACCTGCTTG